ATAGTATTAAGTACAGTAAAGTTTAGTCTTAACTAAACTAAAGTAAAAAAAACGTACACAGGTTACAGTGTTATCTCCTTATCGAACTTAGGCCTAACATAAGTTAAAGTTCTATAAAGTACGGCCTATACACAAGTGGATTTACACATTTCGTTGTCTACGATTACAATTCGTTTGTATTGTGCTAGAAGTGTTATATTTAAAGAAGTACTGTTACGATAAAGATACTAATTTGGTCGGAAATGTTTTGCAGGTCTCTGCTAGTACTATATTATTTCACAGGTGAAAAAGTTTGTTTAAGTTGGCTTTTAAAGATGTATCTTTATGTGATGCATCAACTAAATGGCTAGGTCAAAGACCCAGCTCACTGTATGTTTGTACCTTGGACCATCTGATTCACAGCAAAACAGGCTAACCCACAAGCTATGCCTGAACTTCCATCTAACAGAGAAGTGTTTATTGCTCCTGTCTCAAAATATGCTATTATGTATTATAGTTTTATGAATGAAAATAGTCAAGTGCATAGATTTGTTTTTAAAATCGACATGTATAATTTTTGAAAAGTTAACCAGAAGGAAGCACCAATTTCTCATTTTTAACAACAACAACTATGGTATCCATGCAGCATTTAGAAGTTCAGAATACACCACTTTCACACATAACAAATTTCATGTTTTAAACTAATAATATATTATTATATTAGAAGTAATGTTTTTGGAATACGAGCAAAATGACGAATTTTAGTATCAGATAAATATTACACCACATACTGTAAAAAATATGATATTGAAAATCATCTTTAAACATTCTAAAATCCAAAATTAAATCAAGTTGAAATTCTAGCCTCTCACTCTAATAAGTCAATTATACACTGTTCTACGTCCACTGAATCATAGTTGTAAAATTTAATTTAGTAGGCAATCATCCATCTCTAGTCTCAAAAATCGGCAATTAGAATCAATAAGTAACTTGAAAAAACTAAATACAATAAACATGCCCAAGCCCCTAAAATGTTATTTTAAATTTACAAACTATTTGGTTTAATATATGTTTTAAAAATATGGAACAAAACTAGTTAAAACAAATTATTTCATTGAAACTACATTTGGATCCATACAAAACAATTAAATAAAACTAATACATACATTGTAATTACTTCATATTAAAAACTAAAAGATAAAACCTTTTAAAAACACAAATGACGGGTCTTGTTTCAGTTCTGAAAGATTCACATCTCAAACCTTTTTAAGGAAGAACTTAGTTAAGATCTTGATACACTGGGCATATTATATCACAAATGCATACAATGTTCTACATACACAAACTAAGATGATTTTTGAACTGATATGAAAAATATTAGTAATTACTTTTAATAAACAAGAGACCCTAAAAAGCTAATATAAAATGTTTTAAAACAACCTTTATTGATTATACATACACTATCTTATGTTAGTAAACAATTTCAAATGTAACAAAGCTTGTGCACAGAGCTAATCCTCATGTTAAAATGTATTCACAACTTGAAAGTAAATTAAACCACTTTAAGACCAGAAAATGAGCAATGAAAAAATTAAACGTTTATACATTTTTTTACATCCAATTGTTCACAAAGTGATATAATTTTAACATTAGAAGGTTCCCATTCCTGCAAACAAACACACATATGTGAAAGTGAAAACAAAGGTACTATTAAGGAGAAAATTTTATGTAAGGGTGATGTTGATTATTCATTTTCAAGATTTTAATTAAGCCTAGTGATGAATCCCTATATAAAACAGTCTGCTGATTAATAGCAAAACCTTTTTCAGCCATTATATTATGTTACTTTTATAAGGTCACAGGGCAGATGGTACAAGAGCTTTCCAAAATAAGTATAACCTAAGAAGCACCAGCCACCTGGCTGGTATATAACTAAACGTAAGAGAGAACTATTAACAAATCCTGAAAGAGAGGATGTGACAGGTGGGTGTGGCAGGAGGGGTCTGTTTTTCTATTTGATAGCTCTGTAACCAAAAAAATTGAAGGCCATAAAAATTATATTTTGTCTGAGCAATGATGATTTTATAGTGAGTAATTGATATTGAATTTCATACTTTTTGGAAGGGTGGTGGATAAAATAGAGACAAGTAGATGCCTAGAGGAAACGTGTCACACTAGGGGAAATTCAGGATTTTTTTAACATTACTTTATAAAATTAAGAACTTAAAACTTATATACTATGAAAATATAGTTTACTAGCTAACATTTTATGCTATATTAATTGGTATAACATAAACAAAAGTTTATGTCAAATGATGTATTGTATAGCGTTGTGTTCTGAATAGATAGTCATCAATTTTAAATGTAAGACACTAAAACCTTGTGTCATGCTCAGTAAAGGATACCTGTGGTGATAGAGTTCAGGCAGATATTAAAGTATTTAAAGTCTACCTTTTTAACTGTCTGCCACAATACTTTAAGGAGTTTATGCATTTCCAATTTTTTCAGATATCTTCACTTTCAACAGATGTTTCGTGATTGATAGCCTGTTCGTCAATCCGCCAGTTAGAAGGAACCTCACATATCAGCTTCTGTTGAGTGTAAACCACAAAGCAGACATGGCAATTTCAAATCAAGCCTATTAGTATTAGTACTATGCCTCTAGTCTAAGCACTCCCACCTTAAACTTTGGGTGGATGGCCAGTTTGATAATAATAATGATGGAAATCTGCCAAACGGTAACCAATTCGCATCCCTGTAAATTTCCACACTTTTAATTATGATAGAGTGACATCTCATTTGTAAAATGAAACTTTCTAGACTTGTTATTGTCAGACATTTTTGTATCCTGAAATACAAAACTATACTCTACAAGATAAATAACATTGAACACAATGAAACAATTTCTTTTATTTTCTCTGTCTGTCTCCTTATCCAAATGTTAGATGTTCAATTTTTTCTGTTTGGCAGATTTTCATAAACTGTTTGGTTTCAACAAACCAGTAAAGATGTCTTGTCATTCTGTCTTTTCTGCTAATTCATCTGCTGAATCAAGAAGAGACAACATATTTTTATTTACTGAGCAGCTGCAAGGAAAAAGGAAACTACAAAATGTCTTCAGTAGCTTTGATATGATCATAAACCACTCTTTCATGTTCTCTACTCCAAGTCCATCTTTGACTGAAAAGCTCCTTTGCAACAACACCTGACCACGAGATAATAAATTCAAGGATCATTCTCATCACCTCCCAAAGGCTTGATGCATTTATGTAGCATGGAGTAACTCATATATATGGACTTTTGAAAGAAATTGTTTAAATTATCAGCTATAATATAAAACTTTTTATTATCATTTGGTGAGACAACTTATACTAAAAGGAACCAAACTGGCAATTTGTCAAAATCTTGTTCATTAACATGTTTCAGATTTACTAAACAGGCAGTAAATGGACATTAGACCAAAAGTCCTCTTGATCATCAATCATTTTGTGAGCATAGAATCATGCTACAATACGAGTGTGGGAATATTTCAATAGACACTTTGCAAGACAATAAAAAAACTAACAAAATTAAACTTCAAATTCTATACAAGTTAAAAATAAGTATTTTCAAATAGATACCTTTAAATGTTAAACTTTAAACCTTTTTCCAAATTTTATTAGTTTAAGCATCATTTATTTGAAAACAGTTACTAAATTCATGATTAAAATATATATTAACATTATATTTGCTTATAAATTTCACTCAAGGGCTATCTGTACATAGACATTTCTTAATAATTATAAGTATGAATACTGACTTTTAAGTCTAAGTAAAAAAGACAGATATTGTGATAATAAAAGCTGACAAAGGAAACAGTGAGGTTATTTTAGATAAACTAGGTATGTCAACAACATTAACAAAAGGGAATCCTCAATAACTGTGGCACTTGAAATTATTTAAGGCAGGATTAGAGTAGATTAATCTACAAGACCTTTTTTCCCCTTTTTTATTAGCTATATTTTTGTGTGCCAACAATACCAAGCATGTGTCGTGCATAAACAGGATTCAATTTTATTAATCATCAGGATCTCTACCAGCCTACCCTCAAACTGAAATTCTTTTTGGCAGGATTAGAGTAAATTAATCTATGCGACCTTGGGCATGGCTAAGTACATCAATTGAAAGGGTTTTATCTCCTGGTTGTATCTTCCACAAAGGAATAAACAGTAATCAAATACAAAACTATTAGGAGCATTAATGACTGAAATAACTGAGTAAACTGTTTCACTCTTAAATGTTAGTTATTTTATGAGCAGTATGAATAAAAACTGCTACAAAATACAGATTTGCACAAAGTATCTTGCAGATTGCTGCACAGACTTGAACTTCCTTCCAATATTAAGAATCTTTTATTTTTTAGTAAATATAAAAAATGAAGGTGTCCACAAAATCAACAAAAGGCTGTAGAAATAATTTAAGGAAATCTCCAATCATGCTTAAAAGGCCCACGTAACACTTGTACGTCACCAAAAAGCTTTATACTATATTGCTATCAGTTCTTCAAAGTTGCAGACACTATAATTAAACGTTTATATTTCTTAACACAAAAATACATTCAGGAAATTGGGAATTTGTAGCAGGTATATACAATATACTTGTAGGCTGCAATATGGTATCTGTATTTCTACTTACTTTTCGTTCTGGAGCCATTTCTGCTATAAAATCAGTCATTAATTGATGAAATTTGGGGTGCTTGTTGTATAGAGAACCATCTATGGCTACAGTTACAAATTCCTTTTTCATTCTGTTCAACAAACTTGCTAGACCTAAAAAATATATATACACATACTTTTATATATATATATATACACACACACACACACACAAACACACTAATATATCTGTTTCCAAAGTTTTGCAAAAACTACACATTGTTCTGAGTGCATAGCGATCCTCATTTTGAATTAACTGATTAGAGGAAAAGAAGGCAGATGGTCAGTAGCAGCCTATACAAACTCTTGTGTTACTTTGGGCAGATTGAATAGTGAGAATTGATTGTCACACTTATAGCACACCCACAAACCCAAAGTGCAGAGCATTTGCTGTGGTAACAGGCCATGAACCCTCAGATTCACAATCTGAGCATGCTAATCACTAGGCCACTTCCAGCCAGTGTAACTTATAGCTGAATACAATAAAATACATATATGGTAGGTATAAAACAGAGCTAAAAAAGTAAATGTGAAGAACAGAAACAAATGACACAAAGGTTCATAACAAACACAGCACAGACTGACACAACACTTATAAGTACTTATCAAGAATACAAGACCAGAGTGCACAAAATTATCACTTGAACAATGTCAGGAAACACAAAATATTTCTTTTACAAAACTTAGGTGGTTAACTTGTGATAAATCTCAAAGTTGATCTAATATACATCTCAGAAAAAGATGGAAAACTAAAAACATCCACAAACTGGAGTTAGCAAGAAAATAAAAGCTTTTTTACTTAATTCCAGAGCTCATCAAAATGACTGTGGTTACAAAATACAAAGTCTTGATTGAAATGCTACTTATATATCAGTTTTTTTATGGTGGAGAAAAGTACAGCTAGCAGCATTCAAGAAATAAGTATAAAAAATGCTATTATATGCTTTTCTGACTGGAATCCAATATTGGGCTTGTGTTATTTAAATTATTATCAGTCAGATTGTGATGTAATATCATACAAACATTACTACTAAATGTTGTGGTCCACTGAATAAGGAATTCTATTCAATAATGTTATATATAATACACATTAATAAATATTGGAGGACATTTTCCACAAATCAAATTCATACTGGATGAAATAAGCTTCTTATTTTTATTTTGGATTTTACAATGCTGCTGCTGTTGTGGAATAGAATTTACAATTATTAGAACAATTGTGTTCTAGTGGATTACTTTAGATTTAAATTGTGCTTAAATTCATATAATATCCCCTAAAATTTGTTTGAATGATGGCAAAGATTTTTAATGTAATCATAATAAATATTATTAATTTTACTGAAGTAAGAAACTTTGTAGATGATTATAAAATGTTCAATTATTTGCAAAAATATTTATGAAATAATACAAAGAAAAATGGATGGAACAAAGATCTTATACATTTTGATAGCATTTTCAATTTTATATTTTAGGAGACAAGTTTTTACATAAATACAATAAAATGATCAACCATTTAATAACAAATTATTTTTTATAAACCATATCTTAAGTAAAATAAATAAAGTTTCCCATCACAATATCTATTACTAATAATTTTAGTTTACTAATGTTAAACAAATCATAAAACTAAACAGAAGGTTATTTTATTAACCTAATGTACAATGAATGTTAAACTTTTCAATCTGTGGTTTTATATCAAATAATGGGTCAACGAAACAAAAGTAACCATAAATATAATTTTTCTAAGAAAATGCGAACTAAAGATTTTTCTTTGCATAGATAATATAAAAGAAATGTATGATAAATATGAAAAAAATTAAAAAGGAATGTGCTTTGCTCTTTTAAATGTTAAGAGAGAAACTTTATTAGCTCCAATGCTAATAGAAAAAGCTAGGGATTGAAACTTCCAACTCTCAGTAGCACAAACTTCTAAAAACAAATTAACATTAACGGATCAAACATACAATACTTAAAATTTATACTGAAGTTTGTGATCAACACTATTTTACTTCTGATAAGTGTAACAGATCCAAATTTCAGAAGTTTCCACTGACAAATATCTGAAAATATTAATTAAAATATACACAGAAATCTCATCAACACACTATTACATTATCTCCTCTTTCACAGCAATAAAACAAATGTGTTTATCTTTTGTATCTTATAATTAGAATACATTTCATTTTAGTACATAAAGGTAGTTTATGTATATAATGGGAGTCAGGTTATACTTACAAATGGAGACTATGCGGGCTCCTCTCACTGATGTGACAGCACAAAGATGTCTAAGTATTGCAATATCATCATCTGTAACAGATGGATATCCAAGGGTTTCTAAAATTTCACGAGCTTTAAGGTCACCATCTTGACTGTGTTTAAAATTAATAGCTTTAGTTTAGCTGATAAACATTTTAGAAACTCAGTAAATTAATAGAAATTTTAATACAATGTATTTTCAATATTGTTTTTAATTAGACCAGTCACATTAAAACTTTTCCTTCAAATGTACAGAAAACCTCTTAATTTTCATCAGGAACACTTTCAAATGCAATATTATTCAACTAGCTTTTATCATTCTAATTAGACATTCCAAAAATCAATATATAATAAACATTAGTGAACAATCTAAAGCTCCTCCTGTTTTACCATGTCTTATTATAAAAAATATATGAATATAATAAATATTACTGAAACAACAGAAAGAACATTACTTATTTTCATAACATCATTCTTTATTCACTTTCAATTAGTTTCCTACAGGATCATCTTAGAACATGTGGTTTGATTATTCTATTTGAAAGCAGCAAGTGCAAAACTGTCACACAAGGATTAATATCAAGCTAAAAACCCACATCCATTATTCAACTAGCCCAGTAAGTCACAACATCAAAATGTCAGTCTTCTTTAATTATACAATTTAAAGAACAAATTTAACCAATGAGAATTAGTGTAAAATGTTTTAATTTTGGTAACAGGTTTTATTCATTATTATATATAGTGGATAAATTCTATGTAACACAGAATATATGATAAATCAACAATAGATGGTCATGCATTTAGGAAAGGGACAAATGAGATATGAATTATTAAAAAGAGAAAAGAAATAAGGAAGCTGCCAACAATATAAAAAGCATTTTGCTAAACTACATAAAAATGTTTACAAAATATATTTATAATTGCAGAAGCTGCAACAAGGTTACCAACAGAAGTAAGAAACAGGCTGAAAAAATTCAATACAAATTTTAATTTCAGTATTTGTTAAGGATTTTGTATCAATACATTAATAGAATTCATGTATGCAAATATAAACTATGATTATGAAATACTGCCATATTATTTACCGAGCGAGAACACTAAAAAAAATGTAGTGGTCATATTTACATGAAAATCTCTAAACATTCAAGAAACAAAAATTTAACAGAGCAGATTCGCTCAATCAGTCACTGTAAAAATTATTTTGCAACAGGATTAGTACTTTAAATAATTTTCACGATAACTTCAAAATACAGATATTAGACATACTTGTGTGAAAACAAAACAAACGTTTAAATATTGTTTATTGATGAAAAACGCATTCTAAGTTTGCGTAAAAATGATAGAGCCTTTATTTATTAATTGCACTCAATAAGAACAATGTTCTAGGTCCATTGTCAATTGAGAAGACATAAGAAAGCTAAGACATGGCATCCCCAGTATTACCAATGGTTTGCCAAACATTTACTCCTTTAGACAAATTTGCAACTTCATCAGTAAATTCAATCTCAATGCCAAACTCCAAGCTAAGAAAACAAGAAGACTTAATCGTGGTAGTATTTTTTATTCAACCACTATCACCTGAATAGTTCACCTATTTATATTTCTATCTGGAACTCAGGACCACAAGTACATCATCCCTCTATACATAGTACCAGCCATTTTGTAACTTCTTGAGAAAACGTTTCTGTGAAGAATGGTGAAATCAATCCTAAAATTTAAACCTTTACAAACTTTCTACACAGCCTCCATTATAGGTGGACCTCAACTTTAAAGATATGTTTAAGCATACCAAAGGAACATGTCATGGGAGCTGTATCAATGAATTTGTATGTGATTCATTTCATCAGCCATCTTTCTCATGAAAACAATTGTTGATTTCAAAGTGTGGGTTCAAACTTGTGAGCATTTAGCTTGTGAATCTTTGCTTATTTTACATCTTTGTTCACGGTACCAAAAAATATATCCATCTTCATCACAGTGGACTAGAGGGTCAAAGGATTCTCTTCCATAACCATATATTTCAATTTTTAAATTAGAGCATTGCTCCAAATTGGGTTCTGCTTTTAGAACTCATTGCTGTTCTACATGTTTTATTTCTAGATTTTTCAACTTCCATGTAAAACAATGAGGGCTCTCTTCTTCTAAATCTCACTGTATGAATGTTTCTTTTATGAAAAGCCTTTTATATATATCATTCCTACCATACATCTACCACCTGTTAAGGTACTGCACTGTTGAATAATTGGGAATTCATTAGGAACCAATTATATAAATTCTAAACATATAGGTCCTTGATGTCATAACTTGCATCTGTAGACATGTAAATAAAAGTTTGATTAACCCTTTATTTAATAATATGCCAATTGGGCACTTTGACTGCAATGAACAGTTGAAGAAATGCTAAAACAAGTACGTTAAACAAGACACATTGGAGAAATCATAGTAGTCACCTAAACAAAACTAAAAGAAATGCAAGTTGCCTTGATTAGGCTTTACACTGAAAAAGAATTAAAGCTCTACATATATAAATACCCTGCATGAATAAAAGATAATAATTTGACAATTACAACCATTGTGGTGGCTTAGGAACATTCCATGTTTCATTAAAAAACAAAAGACGCTAAAGACATTAACTGTTTTTTGTTCTTTTTATGAGAAAGTAACGAAGTTTTATTATTATTATTTGTCTACAATCAACTATTTAAGATTATATTTCTATATGAATCATGCAATTTTAGGCAAAATTTAAAGCCACACTTATTTATTGCTGTTTCTTGGCTTATCTAGCAAAAACTGTAAAATATATTTATTAAATACTTATTTTGAACTTATGAGAATTGTCTATGATTAAAATCAATTCATGTTATTGCTAGTGGTTCAAAAAATGTTAATAACCTTATGTGATATTTTGATGATACGCAACATAACATTCACAGCCATCCATATTAACTGGGTGAGTATACATGTATAATATACATGGCCACTTTGAAAATGGATAATTTAAACATGTACACTGTGAATTCTGATTAACTAAAAATGGTTGTAGTGATATACGTTAAAACATTACTTCCTCATACCAACCTTTCAATTTCAGAAACATGTTCAGCAGTGAAAGCATTGTGGGTCATCATCATGTTGGATAGTTTACCCCTGAACAGCAGCTTATCATCAATTAAACACAACAAAATTTGTCTCACCAGCTCACCAAGATATTTTCCAGCAAATAACTTTTCAAACCTAATATCAAATATTATATATTAAATAAGCAACTTTTATAAGTTAGAAAGCACAAAACAACTAAATCTATGTTTATACAAAAATTGATAAGTGATCATATTTTTACTCTTCTAACTTAAAACTTCTAACTTCTCTCCCAGCCTCACACCCAAATTGTTTATGTTGATGACCTTTAACCATATCCAGACAAGCAGGGTGATATTATGAGACCATAAACTAATCATTTTCAAAAAATTATACATTACTGCTTACCCAAGTGTTATTTACTTTACAATAACAAGATAAACAAAAATACATCATGTTTATCAATTGGTACTATCTTGTCTAACCTACTTGCTGTGATATCATAAAAGCCTCTCGACACAGATACCTTGAAAATAGTCAATGAGAGTAAATTAAAAGTTACGTGAGAAATAAAATCTTAAATACGCCTATCTGTAAGGGATACCAGGGTCTGGGTAAATATAAACCTATACTTTGGGAGGGTCAGAAAAATTAAAAAAGAAATTTTTTTTGTACAGGTGATACATGTTGAAACTGCACAGAGATCAAAGTTCAAATATTTATTTTATTTTTCTTTGCAAATTACACAAGATAAATTTTGAAAAGTCAAAAATTATATCAATTCTTAGATGTTTTCAAGCAAAAAACTGTGGAAACAGAGTTAGAATACAATTAATATTTATTACTTAAATCGTGAAATGTCATATGCAAGTGTGCCACCAGTGCCCCTCAACACAAAAGAGCTACTATTAACCCAAATTGGGTTAAACAGTGTGAGTAAAGTGACAAATGAGAAATGAAAATATTTACATTTGTATGCACAAGTAACAAAAACAGCAATCCATAAATTATTCCACTATTCAAATATTTATTATAATGTATTCTTTCTTTATACATTTTCTGCTATTCAAGGCCATTACTATAACTTTTGAGTTATTAATTATACGTAGCACTACAAATTATTAAAATACCTTTAAAAAAGTTTTAAGTTATCATTACTGAAACAAGATATCACGAAAATCCTTATTCAGTTGCTTAACCTTTTCGAGTCAGGTCACAGATGAAAGGCCATGTCATCTTGTTTGTTGACTCACATTCAAAATTTTATTGAACTACTATTTCATGAATTTAGGTCAATAAGTTTGGTAACAAACTGTAGATTAGAATTCAAATTTTAGAATTATACATTACTGAGTTTATTTTAAAAGTTAATATTAAAAAACACAGGTAAACATTAATTGTTTGTGTGTTACATGGTATGTTGAATGCAGCACTGGTTCAAATTTGATGTTTGTGAAGTCAAAATATTAAGTCTATAGTTTCATACGAATTAGAAACTCTAATTACAGATATTGACAAGTTAAAATATAAAATAAGGAGGTTTTATCTTTTCTATTTGCTAAGATATTGCTCACGTAATAAATCAAACACAGTGGCACCCCACTCACCTCCTCTCATTTTTGGAAACATTCCTTTATAAACACTTACTGCTATATGATATGAATAACCAATCGGAAACTCAGAATGTCCTCCTAGAGGTTTTCTCAGTCTTCCTAATGTACCTAGCACCATTTCTTTCTTTTAAACCAAGATTTCAATGAGGTAGGTTGTGTTGTTAGTTTTTTTTAAATTTTATATTTTTTTTTAGACCCAAATACAGCTTAGTTACTAAGTTTTTTAAATCTATAGTAGAATTCTATGGTACTGATGTAGTAATTTATGATTTCTTAGTTATTCAAAAGTATATATAAAACCTAAAAAAAATATTTTGTTTCATGTCCTTCACGTGCAAAATTGTTAAAGGCTTAGCAACCTACATCAAGCAGCATCCGAATACAAAGGTCGTAACTAGAAGAGATAATTGTTTGCTTTATTTCTTTATTTACTGTTCTATGTTTTAGGAAAAATAACTTTAAAAACTTATTTCAAAATAGCAATAATCTATATACATATATAATAATTGAAATGTGACTGTATTTTACAAAATACTAGTCGACTAAAACACAGCCAAAACAAATTACTTTGTACAGACCAAAGGTCACCTTTATGTTATTTGATACGCATCGTTGTAACTTCTGTATTGTTAGCCAGGCATGGGTGAAAGGTCAATATAATAAATATATATATAAATGTATAACGTTATGAGATTTAAGCTATTTTGT